AAATGTGTATATTTTTTGTTGTTCTCGACAAAAAACCTGTATAGATAATGTTCTAGAATATACCATGTTTAGAAAAGATAAAGAAAGAAAGCTATACTGATTCCAATAGAATAACTAGAAGAAAAGCTATCGTTCTTAGCCAATGCGAATAATTGTCAATAGTTATATTTCTACAAGTATGCTGATTCTCAATTTGTGTAACCGTAAGCACATGTTCTAAGTAAATAGGTCAGGCAAACGAAGAATATGGATCTCTCTCGTCCTGATTCTAGAATGAGATCACCAGAGGCACCGACAAACTCAGTTTTATCTACTTGAGGGCATAACTGTTATACCATTAGAAACTCGAACATAAATTTTAAAAGTTTTTTATTTAAAACATGATCGAAAAATCAATTTTTCTTGTCAATTAATCTTACTATCAGAAAGATTGGTCAGTCCTAGGACGTTGAGATTTAGTTTTCAGACAAAGATTCTTCGAGCTCTTTTTCAGAAACAGCAAAAGCATAAATTCTTTTGTAAAGAACGCTCTTTGCAATGATATATCTAAAAATTGATTTTCGATCATGTAAGGGATGAAAAACTTAAATTTTACGTGAATTTTGAAATTATATATTTAAACTTAAGAATAAACGATTTCTCAAACCTTTTTTGTGTTCTGCAAGTATCTAAGAACCTTGTTTTATCTTTTCAAAAATAATTCTATCAAAATGACAAAAAAGTATCGTACAGTCAGTTTTGACGCCCACTGTAAAAGTAGGATTTATACAAAGTAAAAGTTTATGAAAGCAAACAGAAAGGGCGTTTTCACACTATTGAACGTTTTATAATGAGAAACATACAAGAATAGAAATAATAGTCCGGAAATTAATAAAAATACAGATAGTATATCTACATACATTGACATATTTGTGTTCTGTTTTTAGCATCATCTTCTCTGCATACGCCTTCTCCTTTCCAATTTCATCACAACGCCTTCTTTCGTTTTGTCTCATTCTACACTACTTCCTACTATTGAGAAATAGTCATATTGGTTAGGTGGTATGGAATAAATTATAATAAATAATATTGTCAATGAGATAATCTTAAGAAATACCACCATTTCTAAAGAGCTATCTAGATTTTAGTAAATTATAATCAAGTTTAACGTATTCTATTGTGTAGGCTTGATGCCATGTTTTCCTGCTATATTCATAATTCCATTCAGTCAGAATCTGATGTTAGATTTGAAACTCTCTAGACGAAAAGCTTCAGTTCGTCTAATGTGCACACGCACATTGAGCGATCTAAATAAGAACACTACACACTAGCAGTTGTTTTTTAGTTCATACACAGATACACATACATACTATATGTGTATACATATATATACATACTAAAGAGACAGAGAGAGAATATACCTACATACATTTTTCTTCTTTTCTCTAAATATACCTTGAACTTTGATCTGAATCATTAATCTCTCATCATAATCATCATTACATTCACGTAATCAAGCATTTATGAAGGTTAAAATTTATTGTATCATCTTAAATATAGTACACTATGACACAGTGGTGTGGTTATTGTTAAACATCATTATTAAAAATGATCTCAAGGTTTCTATTTAAATATGATAAATTGTATTTTGTATGTAAAAGGAAGGTTCAAGTGATTAAATATGGAAAACTCGCTGGATTAGGTATGTTCAGCAATGTACATGATCAAAAATTGGTTAATTTTACCATTGTTGAGCAGTAATATAAGATCTTAAAGTGCTCTGAGTTAATTATAGTATCTGAATAAACAAGAGTGCATCTAATAATACTAAACAAATGTTGTTAATTTGTATATGCTGTTGGATTGTGTTGCATCTTATTTTTACTGTCTTCTGCAGCGTAGAGAACGGACGATGAATCATTTTTCACGCTCGCTTTTCTGGAGATTAACTTATCGGATTCTGATCGTTTTGAAACTAGTTGATTTCTTTGATGATGAAACAGACACAATTCTACATCATAAATTTTGAAAATATTTCCGGTCATTTATTATATGTCCTGATAATTAAGTAAATTTCATAGAGAAATTATATTTTAATAAACGTTGATTGTTCTGATGTAGTAGTGTAAGAGTTATACACTAATTAATACATTAAGAGAAAGCATCATCACTAAACTATATCTTTTTCTTAAGTGATCGTCAAACTATTTAAAATGTAAGGAGTTTCATTGTTCATTATCAGAGAAATTTCTTCTTTCTTCTTTGAGCCAGCTACACTCGTTCTCGCTTATCCTCAATTGTCGAAATTTGAAACATTGTATCATTTTTCTTCTAAGTAAGTAATTTTGATAAAGTCAGCCAATGTACCCGGCTATTATAATTACATGTGAGAAATAATTAAATAGTCACGTGATATATAGTAATTCAATATATGTTTTCATTAATACACATATACTAAATATAAAATGAATACATTTTTAAAATATTAATTTGAATATTTATAGTTCTCCATTCAAAGTAATTGTAAATCGTACCGAGAGGTTACTCTAACTTTGTAGAATAATCTCTTGGTAACTTAGTACCAGTAATGACGTCAACAAGGAATAAATATTTTGTTTTACTTTATCACTGAAGAGCGGCTAATTTCTTCTGTCTTGTGCTAACGTTACAAAACTTCATTAATTTTGCTCATTGCATTCTATTCGTGACTTCATATAGCATGAAGGTCAGTCAAACTTTATTTTATGTTAACATTCGCTATAATTTTACTCTTCCGAAGGTACTCTAATAATCGTTTTATTCATCCGACTTTTTAAATCTTAGTGCAGCATAGTTTAATCGAAGGCTAACAATGATAGCCTCTCCCATTTATCTCTTCCGTGTACAGTCTTCTGAATACGAGCACCTACCTACAGCCAATTTAATTTTCTATATTAGAAGACTTTTTACTCAGATTTGTGACTCATTACATTCTAGTTAAGTCCATAGATAATCGAATACGAAACCTTTACTGATAGTTCTATAGATTATAGTTAACAATCGTACATTTTTGCTTTAGTCCTTCACTCCCAGGCAAAAACGACCCAATTTTTTGTGTTATTTATCTGGATTCAGCTTCACGTGCAGTCACGTGTAGCGTTCTCTGCTGCGCTTTCATCTACAGATTTAGGGAAAAGATCGTTTATCCAAATCACCAATGGCTATAGATGAATAATTTGACGACTTTTTTTCGATATATGCTTTAGCTATCGATTGCATAGATATGTTTGAAGACCTTGTCTTTACCCATTCATTATGCAAGTCAAGTAGTTAATGGTCATCTATAACAGTATTACACTCGTTTTGTTTGTTCTGTATAATTAAAACAAAAAGATTTGTGAATATTCGCTGTCTAATTACTGTTGTACTTAGTTTGATTGGCGATCGTTGCGTAGCATATTTAGTCTTCTATCTTCCCTTAATTTAAACATTTTATCGGACGTTAACATATAAATAGTGTTTTGTCTTAATAAATTGATGAATATAGAAATGTGTTACTATACTTAATTTTATCGACCTACAGGGAATATTTTTATATTTTTATGTGTCTTTAATTTTATAAGAACAAAAGTAAGTCATTCAAAATTTTGTAACAATATTTTCGTTTTTACTCTTTTATTTTTATTAATATTGAGTGAAATATTAGAATTAAGCAGATCTCTTCTTTTATTATCTATCATATTAGTTGATTTAAGAACATTTTTTTTATTTTATTTTTAGCTGCATTGTTGACGTCATTAACGTACACATAACCCATGTTACGTAGAAATCCGAGCATTTATCCTCAGGATTAAATATTAATTTGTCTTTTTATGGGATAAAATTCTATTCACTCCATTTAGACGTCAGAGATAATACGCTTAATAGTATGCTTTAAGCATACATTTACATTTCACTGTGTTTCATACTATTTCTTCAATAGACCATAAACAAAGTGTTTAAAGATTATCAATCAATTTATAAATACTAATAATTCTTATCGATTTATAACTACTTTTATATATTTTTTAATGCTATAATTCCATATTAAAGTTTAGTATTGTTCATAAAACGGGACTTTATAATTATTTAACAAATATATTTTTTCTGCTGACTATGATCCATGTCATCAACAATTTTATTCTACTTGTTATTTGTTTGTATATGTACTTTATATTTAGTAATGAGCGAAGGACATAAAATGCGTTTTTACAGAAAAACGAAATATAAAAATATTTCTTTTTATCAGTCGCCGATAGTGTTTTTTTGTACTTTTGAAGTAAATCGATGACATTGAAAATTTTTTATATAGTATAAAAGCATAAATAAGTAAAACACAAGCAGCCTTATTTATTTCATAAACACTTTTATTTTTTTGTCTCTCACAACTAATTATTCAAGAATAATGATGAAATTTTGCATTCTGTTTGTCATTTTCAAGGATAAAAATTGTCTGTCACTTATATAGTCTCGTTAAAAACGTTGAAAAAGAATACAACATGATGTTGAATGTTCATTATCTATGCAAAAATAGTTGAGCGCAATGTGCAATTTAGTAATCCAAAAATTATTTCATTCTAATAAACGTTGACATATTTTTAAAATCTATGTCTAATAGATTTGAATAAAAGTATTTTTTTTATAAATTTTCTTCTTTTAATATCATTAAAAACTAGATAATAGGCTTTTATTGATACTAATTTATTTCTGATAGTTTGATTTAACAATTACCACGGTGAAGAGGTATCTAAAAATTTCACTATAAAGAACAACATTTATCTTAACTATCTGTGGAAATAATTGTCTCTTTTTTGATATTAATATTATTACTCATGATTAATGTGTAAAAATAAATTCATCAAAAATGTCTAAATATATATAAATATTTTCTTCGGGGTTCCTTTTTTCTGAGAAAATCATCTTTTACTATTTATTTTGATTTGTAGGATAAATCAGTATTTTATTGTCGTATAAATATGAAGAATATTATAACGGTCTAGACAATGATTGTTTATGGTATTTACATTTACCTGTGTACCATTGTATATATTGTGTGCAAGAGAACTAAAATAGTATTACGCGTGCATCATGATTATAAAAGATTTTGATAGAAGCGGAAGTCATCATTCGCTATAAATCAAATTTATAACATCCTTTTTTGATACTGTAGCATATTTTGGTATAAAAAAAAAAAAAAAACACCGCTGCTTTACGTTCATAGATAAGAAATATATAGGTATTACGGTCATCCAAATAATATTATAACCGCGATTGAATATTTTTTTTATTGCATAATACTAGAAGAAAAAAAAATATATATCGTAACTTTACTTTCGAAGGTGTGTGTATGATAAAGAGTCTCGTCAACATGATAAAGCGACGAACGACATGAGCTTATAACATATGATTTTTCAAAATGAAACAAACCCATTTGTTCATTGATACGGGCAGATGCGGAGAAAGTTTTTTTCTTGCTTACGCAGTCCGTCCTGTCATATTATACTTGTTTTATATCACTAAAGTTATCGTTCAAAATAAATATATCTTTAACTTGAATGAATGAACGTATGAATGAGACCGATCAGGTGTCAATTCTTTGAAAATTATCATAATTTTCAAGACATAGAGAGTTATCTCATATTAACAAGGTAAATAGATGATTATTTCTTGAAAATGAAGAGGGAAAAGAAATTTGCAAGAGGATTAAATCTTCTTTTCTACATGATCAATTTTTTTGTATATTTAACAATTTTTATAGTCAATCATGCATGGATGATTATCAAGAAGCAAAAAAATCACACTGATTTTGAAAAATATTGACCAAAAAAATAAACTATGTTTATCTACGAATTTTTTTAGTGTTGATCAAACACAAAAAATTTTAAAAAATATTGAAAATAACGGTTAAACAAACTACATTCGAGTTATTTTCGATACTTGTTAATGAGATATTGTTTTCTGTGTGAGGGGTTTATTCGACATTTTATCAGTTTTTTGATAATAAAATCTTGCCTAAATATGGTAAAATGATGTATTATGGAGGAGTCGATATGATACCACTTATATCAGATAGCGAATGCACAAAAAAAAATGCAGAAAAGAAAAAATATACATAAAGAAAAATAGCGTTCTATCTTTAAGAGGAAAGAGAAAAACGCAAATTTTTTTTTTTTTTGATAGATATGATATACGTCTATGAACAAACATGTTCAGAAAAAAAAAGAATAGAGAGAATTAAGAAAATTAGAAGATCGGAGATTAATTTATTAAAAACAATAAAGTTTATTCGTAGATCTCTTTCTTATATTTTTTTTTTTTATTTTTTATTTTTTTTTGGATAAAAAGTTAAAATTTCTGAACTGAATCAAAAAATATATTTTTTCCTCCTTTTATTACTATTAAGTAAGTAACATATTTCATTTCTCTTTTGCGTTACATCTTAGTTAGATCTTCTTGAAGAATTTAATAGATAACAACAAACGGTACCACTTGAAATATATTAGAGAATTATTCAAACATGTCACCGTTAAGTTTATTGCTAATTGTTATCATATTGGTATTGGACAATAAAACATTAAACGGTATGTATAATTAATCTTTCAAACAATTTTTAGAGACTTTTACATCATGTATCACGTTTCTCAAATATATCTTTGTACAAATGAGCAGTAAACTTAAATACATTACAATTTCATCTTAGTTCAAAATGTATGCTGATTATTTGTTTAAACTTTGCTACTAAAAAAAGAAGATCGTTAACTGAAAAGAAATTTTTATTTTATTTTGGACATATTGTATATATTTTAATCGATTTTAACGCAATTTATTACTGAAATTTTTGGATAATCCATCATTTTTGTACAGATGGTATTAGAAGATACAGATAAGTTTCAGATTTAGATGTAATAAGTATGTTGTACGACAAAAAAATTGAGTATACCATTGGTAAAAGTCAATTCGCCACTGACAATACGTAGGTGAAAAGTGTACATAAGATACTGTGCATCACTAGCATTGAAAAATATCGATGCACACCTGTGCTAAATACAATGCTGTTCAAAGTTTTTTTTGTAGAATACCGTTTAAAAGTCAAAAATCATACACCTGAACGATGTCATTATTCCTATTCACTACATGATGAAAGACACTCTGAACATTGATACTTTAATTGAATGCGACATGCTCCTTATGCGATGTTCTATTATCTTTAACCTCTTTTCCCTATTTTTTTTTTACTCATTCATTCATTCATTCAATCATTCATTCAATCAATCATTCATTCATTCAGTTATTTCAAATTTCGTTCAAGAACGCGTACCGTTAGAAAAATTGCGGATAAACGATATGTCAAATAGAGGGAAAGAGAAAGAGAGAAAGAAAAAAGCGAGAAATATGAGAAAATCAGGCATATGGCTAGTCAAGGGCAGTGATATCAATCAGTTTTTGTTCAATCCATTCAATTTGATTTCAATTAAATGTCAATAATCTATCGTTTCTCTTTCCTGTTTTACGTTCAGATAGTGAGAAAGCTCTCAATCATTCAATAATATACATAGATCGAAGGATATTCACTGCAGATGTGTAACTGTGAACAGACGTTATGTTAAGGCATAAATGAACACAACGACTGAAAACTGAAAACACACTTTCAAATACGTATCTGATGATTTTGACATTCAATATTAATTCTTGATAAAAAAAATGCAAGAATTTGAATCTTAGCAGCTGAAAAAATCTTAAACACACTATTTAAATATTTCATTTCACTTCTATTTTAGCTGGCAATTGTTTTTATCATCGTCTAAGTGACATGTGTTTCGGTATCAGTGAATCGGATACAACGGAAGATCAGTGTAGTGGACAGTTTTATTCAGACGATGATCTAAAAGATTTAGATGGTTATGCATTTGCCGATAATTGTAGAGACGTTGCAGGTAATTTTTATTTTTTATTTATTTAAGAAAAAGAAATCTATTTAAGACGGTAATAATACGTTGTTTGTCGGAAAGAATATGTCATATTTGAAAGTATTAATACAAAGTGTTTCTTTTTTACAAAGCTCGGTAAAATCCATTTTGTACAATAGAAAGATTCTTTATTCCTTGTTATTAAAACCTTTTTTTTATTCAATGATCGTATGTTCCATCTTGTGTCAATCAAAGTTTCGTGTAATTATCTAGAGTATGTCGGTATATAGTATCGACACAAATGTAAACGATTTTTACCATGTGACCTTAGTATATCAGACTACAAAAAATTTTTTACTACGATAATTATGCATACTTTTCCTCTTATAAACATACCAAAATTCAGTTATTTTTGTAGTCCACACAAACACATACACACACACACACTACTGAGATATAATAAACAGTTTTTGAAACGTTTTCAGGTACGGCGTGAAGAAAATGTGAGTGAAATTTGCTTGTCTTTCTTTAAAATGATAGAAGATTTTGTTACTAGAAGTATGATGTTTCTTTTCATAAAAGGACAATGTCTGATATATTTTATGATCATTTCTTCTATTGGTATCAGAACGGAAAATAGATTCTTCCGATATCATGACTCAAAGTTTTTACCAACGTGTTCATGAGATGAAATAAATCTTTGCAGAAGTAATTTTTTCACTAATTGTAGAGTGCGTTAATAACAATAAAACCATTTTGATTTATAAAAATTTGACATGACATCTCTTCTTTCTCTTTTAACGTCATTTGAAAATACTTGAATGTATTATTATTAAAAATATAAAAATAAAATAATTGTCGAGATCGCTTCTTTGTCAATCATCACGTTTAAGTTTTACCGCCAACGTAGATTTATATCACGTTGACGTTGTCATAACACTAAACTTTCATTCTATAGAAGATATTTTAAATATTCATCAATTCATAAAGGGTGAGCCATATTACTGAAACAATTACTGACAGAATTACTGAAACGATATTCTGGCCCACCCTTTATCTTCTTCTATGTCTATAAATATCTATTTATGTAAAACTCACACCTTTTATGACTAACTTGTATGAGTAACGCCTTCCGTAGGATGTTACTAAAAACAAAATAAATAATCTGGTTGAGTTGGAAAGAAGAGTAGCAAGGACATTTTTAACCCTTTACACTCCCTTGGTTATTGGAGTGACCATTTGTAGGTCGATTGCAAAAAATTAAGGAAGCATGGAATTCAAAAACTTTAAAAACAGTTTGTGTAGTAGACGTCATGAACTATCTATAGGTAAAAAAAATACTTCGTTTGATCACTCTGTCTCCGAAATATGGACCTTACAAAATCGATAATTTTGGAAAATTAGAACAAATTGAATTTTTTAAAACAAATTTTTCGCTGCCTACAGGCAATAGAGATTTCGGAGGTTTGTTGTGCACTTACATCAACAAAAATGTCTACTTATTAACTGGTCGCGTTTCGAAAGTTTCACAATAGTTTGTTGAATAAGAGACGGTAAGGCACAAGATGGACCTTAGAGCCACCGTTGAGGGAACGGTGGGAATGGCGAACATCGTGAATATGTTCGCCTTGTAAACCTTATCATATGAGAAGCTGAAATAATATTTATCATGGATTTAATGTCTTCAATGGTTATTTTATTACTTAATAAAAAAGGTGTTATTTTAAAATAGTTTTTATGTGATAAGCCCTTCTTTTTCATATGAGTCGAATAAAATGGAATAGATTTCGCTTTTGTCCACTCAACACCGTCATCGTATCGAGTCGAAATAGATTTGGCTGGAGTTTTTTTTACAGACGAGTTGAAAAAAAATCTTTTTTGCACGTTACTTATTAGCATAAGGACATGACTAATTCGAAAATATCTCTGCTCAGGTCTTTTCCGCTACCCAGATAGGAAGCATGATACGTAAAATAACTATCTTTTCTGCCGGCTACTTATAATCATACCTTTGTGAATAAAATAACCATCAGTAGCTCGAGTACAGTATAAAGACATATTGCCAGATGTTGTTGTAGTTTTTATTGGTAGAAATCGTGAAAAAAATCAGAAGTCCAACATGGTTAAAAATGAAAAAAGTCCAAAATTTAGAAAATTTGCGCGCTCTCTCCACCTATGGAAGACATTTTTATAAAATTACAACTGCCACAGAATTTAAGTACAATGTTACAGCTGCCTAAGTAATCAATTTCACCAAAAAATCTTGCCTTCGGAGCAATAAATAAGAGTCAGTTTTTAGGAAATAATGTCTCTTATCTGGGTAACGGAAAAGACCTGAGCAGAGATATTTTCGAATTAGTTATGTCCTTATGCTTATAAGTAACCTGCAAAAGAGATTTTTCTTCAACTCCTCTGCAAAAAAACTCCAGTCAAATCTATTTCGACTCCATATGTAAAAGAAAACAAAAGTAGGGTTTTTCAAGTCGTTCAACCTCCTTCGTTTACTCCATAGTCACCGGAGTAACCAAACTACCCTGCACAAAGGACAGAGCGCTCGGTCGATCTGCCTATGCCATTGGCATACTGGGGGGATTAGTACTCTATTTGTGTGATTATTTTATTACTAAGTTTTCTGGAACCGCTGTGGGGGTAAAGGGTTAACGAACGCGTTTATTTTGATTGAAAACGTATTTTATACTGATATGATCAAAAAGAAACGGAAGCTATTTTTGTTATGAAGTTTTCGAAAGCATTGGTTTTGAAACATTTAACATGTTTTTTGGTTAATTTTCTCATCCCTCTAATTGCCTCTAGAATCTTGCAGATTTAATCCGAACATGAGACAGATTTAAAGCAAAGGACAGGAGCACATTTGATTGGATCTCCTCGTGGATATCGAAGTGCCTATATGCTGGAGTTTTAACGAGTTTGAACGAAGTCTGATTAACAAAAATTTTGTTTTTTTCTTGAAATGTCGTTTTTTAAGAAAATTAGTATTTTTTAAGAACCTTGCCACAAATTGTGGCTCAATGAAGCATGATGGAGAAAACTTTTTGCTGACAAAACTCTTCCTTAGGTGCCAAATAAGGTACACTTTTTTTCAGTTAACAGAAAAATTTTGAGAAAAATCAAACTAAAGAATTTAAATTTATTAAAAAGCTTAAAACACAATTTTTCTCAACAAAACTTTTCAATTACGCTGAGATAAGTATACCCTATTTGGCACTTAAGGAAGAGTTTTGTCAGCAAAAAGTTTTCTCCTTCATGCTTCATTGAGCCACAATCTGTGGCAAGATTAACGAAAGTAAGTTCACGACGAAGAAAATTTTTGGAGAATGTTTAACTTTTCGATTTTTCTACATTACAAATGAGTTACAGTTGCCAATAATTGTACTTTTGAGAATTTTTTAATAAAAGAAACGAATTTCAATCACTATTTCAGATCACAGTGAGGACTTTTTATAGCTCGTTTTCTTAAGGAGGAGCTCCTCCGTAATGGCTGTTTAGCCGTTACTTTATTCCCTTTGTCCTTTTATGTAGATGGTTCTCGAACTTCTTTTCGCGGTTTATGTTAAGGAGAGAGAAATATTTGACACCGAGTTTTAACAAATAAAAATGATTATATTTTTTGTCTGCTGGGAACAAAACGAAAAACAAGTCGTTAGCGGAAGTCAATGTCGTTTGCTTTTCATTCTTCTCTATCTTAAACTTCAAATTTTAATCACTTCAGAGAAGCACGACCCACAACAACAACATTTCTTATTTATTAATTCTAGACTTATATTACTATTACATCGAAACTATTACTGTTATAAATTCCGTTTTTTTCACCAGTATGTAGAGGACATTTCGAAGTATATGTTTCAAAGATCTTTTTGGTTTCGAGTCTTATGCTTTTCGAGAAAAACCCTTTTTAAACTTTTTCAGGTTTTTCCCGATTCTTAAAATATCCAGAAAAACTTCAGTCTTAGATACGAAATGTTGACTGAATTCTGAAGTCCCTCACGAGAGCTTTTCCAAAATTTTTTGTTTTTTCATTTTTCAGTTAAAGTTTATGGTTTTCAAGAGTTTAAAATTTCCTATTTTTGAAGTTTGAAACTAAAGAAAGAAAATTCTGAAAAAATCTCTGGCGAACGCCCGAAGTTTTGTACCCACACTTTTGCTCCGAAATATTTCCTTTGAGGGAAAAAACACACCTTTAACCCTAAAATCACATTGGATCTCAAAAAACCCTTGAAAAATTTCGTTACTCAGTCAGACAATGACTGTAAGTCCAAAAAACTCAAGACATACACTTCGAAGCGTCCGCTACAATTTAAGAAAGTTTGAGAGTACCTTTCGGAGCCACCTTTTCAATACAAAAATCGAAAAAAAATCTGAGTTTTCTAAGTCTTTGAAATTTTATTCTTGTATTTCTACTAATACAAATTTTTCTTAGATGAAAATGAAAGGGGATAAAATTTTACTGATAACAAGTTTTTGAGTTTGAGCGGTATCGAAATAGCTAAAACTCTTTTGTAGATTCGGACACGGTTTCAACTCTACGGAGTATGAATGAGTTCGGATTCAAAAAAGTCAAGCTCGTAGAACTCTAATTTGAAAGGGTACAGTGCCGAGCATATTAATAGGAATGTACTACAAAGTAATCTTCTTCTCTCTGTCTCTCTCTTAATAGTACCAGAAAAACCATGTGATTTGGACTGTGGTGTTGGAAGAGAATGTCGTACAGTTCATAACGAGAACCGATGTGTATGTAAAGAGAATTGTAGTGACCAATCAACAGAATCACAACCCTTATGTGCATCAAATAACGTAACGTATAAATCAGAATGTTCTATGGAAGTATGGAAATGTGATAATGATTATTCAGCCTTGTATAAGAAGTACGACGGAGAATGTCAAAGTGAGTTTTAAATCTTGTTTTTCGATGATTATAATTTAAAAATTTGTCCTTAACATTTTTTTTCAGAAGACTGCCGGAATGTCAGATGTCCGTCAGATACTATCTGTATGTTAGTTAAAAATACGGGCGAACCATTTTGTTATCCTACTCAACATTGCAATTTACATGACAAAGAGCAAATTTGTGGTACAGATGGTATTACATACAAAAATCTGTGTGCAATGCGTTTATCGCCAGATATTTATGGGAAGATTCCTGCCATAGCTCACAAGGGACAATGTGGTAAGAAAAAATTATTGAATATAGATTTATCATTTACTCTATTATTCATAATTCTTAGCATCAAAATGTCGACCAAATTTATGTGATAAACATCAACGCTGTGTATTATCGTACAAGTCTCGACCCGTTTGCATTCGTTGTAATTTTCCATCAAAATTTTTAAGTAGCGGTGAATGTAGTATGAAAGTTCCAGCATGTGGCGATGATTATTTTCTATACAAAAGTTATTGTGATGTTTTAAAAGCACAATGCGAGAAAAATCGGTATATTGATATTATTGATTACGAAAGTTGTCCATCTATAACACCATCCGATACATTAATGAAATTAAGTAAGTTATTCTAGATGAATGAGATCAATTGATTTAGCTAAGATATTGTTTGTTTAAGGACGATGAACACCTGTTTGAATTTATCTAATAACAAGAGCCATCAATTTCTGCCTAGCCTATTTACATTGTTCATATAAAAATAAGAAAAGACGATATGGTAATGATTCTTTGGTTAGTCGGGTTTTGTACAATTTAGCATACATTCCATTCAGGAACAACAAAATTAAATTATTTGATGTCGTCAATAGTTTTATTGTTAAATAAAATCTCAGTTTTTTGTACATCTTATACTTTGGCAACCCGGTGACCATTTGCTTTCTTTTTTATTAAAAAAGAGAATCTAGGCGCAGACAACGGGCTCTGATTAACTTTATCTTTTGAAATATTTTTTTTTTTGTTCTATAGACAGTCTGTGTTTGTGCATTGTATGAAATGTACAGTTAACTAGTTCATAGCAACATTTTTACGTCTCACTCTTTTTCTAATGTCTCTTTCGTATGGCTTTAGGAACGATCATCTAATTGGAAAAGAAATCGATTAATTAGATTTCCTTTAATTCTGTTTTCATTCTTCAACTATTTATTACTCAATAATTCTTTTCTTCATATATCTTCTACTTTTCAGCAACTATGTTATTATAACTATTGTTGCTTAAAATTTCAGAATCTGGACATGAATTTTAAATTCAATACCTATCTGTGATCTGATTTTTTTTTCTCATGCGTACGTGTTTTTTTCTGAGATTATTTGTTTTCTTTTTTTCTGCGGTTCAAAAATTCACGAGTTTTTTTGTTTGTAATTATTACTGTTGTTATTTCATTGTTGGCTCTCTTTTCTTTTATGATTATTTGTTTTTTGCTGTTGTTATTAGGCATTGGGTACCCTCGCTTGTCGTTTATATTTGTTACTCAGTGAGCCGTGGTTAGTGAGAATCGAGAGCAATTTTTAAATGTCTGTCCAATTCGGGATTAGTTTTCATAAAAGTCGTCCCGTTTTTTGCAGTTTTATGTTCAAAAATTGTAGAATCTTCTTTTTTTGATGAATTCTTGTATTTTACCTTTCGTGTACATTCTCTTGCCTCTCTAACCTAAAAAACATACCATACATGTAGAAAAGAGAAGCTGCAGCGCAATCGAATGATGTTAGTATTGATATAAATTGCTGTACAGTGACGTGGATGCATAAAAAGATTAAGAAATATTTATTTATTGTCGGAATGAAATGGAATGTATAATCCGAATAAACAGTGGTTGCACAAGTGACTGGCTGCTATTTGCAGATGTCGCTAAACATAAAAAAAGTTTTCGACCAGGATAAAAATTGTTAGACGAAATGCGGCGATCTCAATAGAATGTAAATATGGCTCATTGGTTTCACAATACAAGTGCTTTCTCAATGCTCATATAAAGTTTTCTAAACGGGTTCTTGTAGATCAACTTAGATTACAACCAAAATTTGACACTCTCCAGCCCAGTGCTCCCCAGGTTACAACCAAAATGCTCATCCTCTCAAAAAATGAGAAACCCTACTAAAAGTCTTATGAATCTCTTTTTCAAGAAGAATCTGTAAGGATTTCTCATTAACTTTCGAGTTTTTTTCTTGTGAATGATAACTAACATAGTAGTAATCAGCACCTACACATACAAGTTAATGTTAGTTATCATTCACAAGAAAAAAACTCGAAAGTTAATGAGAAATCCTTACAGATTCTTCTTGAAAAAGAGATTCACAGAAACTTTTAGTACGATTTCTCATTTTTTGAGAGGATGAGCATTTTTGTAACCTTAGTTGATCTATAAGACTCCGTTTAGGAAACTTAATTTGATCATTGAGAAAACGTTTGTATTGTGCAACCAATGAGCCAT